CTGTTTTCATAACATTTATAGAGAATTAAAACAAGTAGAAAATTACAGAAGGGCACAAACACTACCAAATGGAGAAAAAACACTAGAGAAACTCAGGAGACAAAAATCACAATTCTTTGTGAGGGCTTGATGAATGGGGTAATGAAAAGATTTTCTGATTTAAAAAAAATGGGGGGAGAGATAAATCTTTAAATTGGCCCTTATGTTAGCCTAGATGCCAAAACCAATCCACATATTTTTTATTTATTTGAAGAGACTCCGAACATTTAATGATAAATTTAAATCAAATAATAAATTAAGATTCTTACACATGGAGAAGTTTCAAGTGTAAATAACTATAAAGGGAGCCTTACTGATTTCCCCTGACAATTCCTTGATTAATACTTAGGGATATCTTTGTCCCCAAGGTTAATTGCTCAGATATAAATTTTCCCACCTTTGGTGACAATCAGAAACCATTGTCTCTCCATAGGTAAGTCTGATTGTCCAGATGATCAAAAACTCGGAAGAGATAGTGTTTGATTTCTTATTATTTTCCTTTTCTAAACATGAATAAAATGGCTAGAGACCTTAAGAATTTTTATAATGAAATGAAACTGTAGGCAGACAGACCCTGATTCTCCCATGCTGAAGGAAGCTGGGCTGACAAATGATGGATGATAAACAGGTTCTGTAACCATCCTTGCTGTAGTCCAGGTTTAGAGCCCTCTTCTGTGCTGAGTTCTAGTTCCTCAGTATGGTAGTTTTTGGACTGACATTTTAGCTATTCAAAAATCAGAACCATAGAATCTGACACAAGAAAGTATATTCCCACTTCACATGCATTTAATTATTTTGTAAGTTTCTACTAAGAAAGGAAGTGTTAAGAGAGTTCGGTAAAACCGAGGAGAGAATCAAATGGTGAAAACGTTTCCTTCCTCATTGCAAAAAGCTCTTCTCATGTTGGCTTATGCTGCAACATGATGACATGGTTGAACCCAGGATCTTCTAGACAAGTGAACAATGTTTTGACCAAATGCATGCTCATAGCCCAGGCTTGTAAAAAATTGGTAGCATCTTTTTGTCACATTCTCCTCAGTGCTGATTTTGCAGGTCTAAGCTATCAAACAAGGCTGGTTTGTCACCCTTCTCAGTACACTTACAGATCTCACCCTTTAAGCTGAATCACCTACTTTTGTTAAAGTTCTCAAAAATGTATTCTCTGAAGCTGGGAGTTGGCCTGGGATGCTACCACCCTGACATTATGCACAGAGATTTAATTCTTATACCAAAGCATAACTGGAGTGATTTTTAATGAAACTGGAATAATTTATGCATTTAATTATTATATTTTATTGGAATATCACTATCTATTACATTTTCCCATTTACCTCTACTCATCTTATAATGAAGAAATCACACTGAATGAAAAGAGTGTCTTAATAGTGCTATTTATTCATGTCCTGGAGGCCCACGCCAAAGTGTATCAAAAGGATTCTCTGTTGAAACGTTCTAGAGGCAACAGAATACTGTGGGATCTGTTTACGTTTTTATTTTTTTATTTCTGAATTCAGGGAGAAAAATTTTATGATATACATTGATACAATGATAAACATTGATGACAGAAATTTTATATTTGGGGAGATCATTCTAGCATTTAATGGTGTGTTAAAATACACTAAAAAGAGAAACCATAAACTTCCAGAATAAAGGCACCTAATGTTATCAACCAAAACTGTATTCATTCAAATGGGTTATCTCAACTATGAAAGGCAATTTTTGATCCATTCTTATGTAACACAATCACATAGAAACTTGCTAAGGATCTCATTCTTTGTTGGCATCCACCATGGATGGGGCTAGGACTCAGCTCTAGACCTACCTTCTGGTTGATAACCACTGGTCTAAATGTGAATATATGATTTTATTGAAACAAGAGAGTAGTTATAGTTGAAAAGATGTATACTCTGTCTTTCCTCCTGAACTTCTGGAATGTCATACAGTGATCAAAGGTACATTACATTTTAATCCAGATTCAGCTTTAATTTCTTTCTAGTAGTCTAAAATGAAAATGTTTAGAGCTATGAATTTTCCTCTTAGCACTGCTTTCATAGTTTCCCATAAGTTTGGGTATGTTGTAATTTCATTTTAATTGAATTCTAGGAAATCTTTAATTTCTTTCTTTATTTCTTCCTTGATCTATTGGTGTTTCAGGTGGGCATCATTCAGTTTCTATATTGTAGGCTTTCTGTAACTTTTTTGTTGTTGTTGAAATCTAACTTTAAGGCATGGTGGTCTGATAAGATACAGGAAGTTATTCCAATGTTTTTGTATCTGTTGAGATTTGCTTTGTGACCAAGCATGTGGTCAGGTTTTGAGAAGGTTCCATGGGGTGCTGAGAAGAAGGTATAATCATTTTGTGTTAGGATGGAATGTTCTGTAGATATCTATTAAGTCCATTTGAGTCATAACATCTGTTAGGTCCTTTATTTCTTTGTTAAGTTTCAGTCTGGTAGATCTGTCTTTTGGTGAGAGTGGTGTGTTGAAATCTCCCACTACTAATGTGTGGGGTTTGATGTGCAATTTAAGCTTTATTAATGTTTCTTTTATGAATGGGGGTATCTTTGTATTTGGGGCATAAATGTTCAGAATTGAGACTTTGGTGGCTTTTTCCTGTGATAAATATGTAATGTCCATCCTGATCTCTTTCGATTGACTTTAGTTTGAAGTCTATTTTATTAGATATTAGGATAGCTACACCAGCTTGCTTCTTAGGTCCATTTAATTGGAAAGCCTTTTCTCTGAGGTAGTGTTTGTCTTTGAAGTTAAGGTATGTTTCCTATATGCAGCAGAATGATGGATCCTGTTTTCTTATCCATTCTGTTAGTCTGTGTCTTTTTATAGGTGAGTTGAGACCATTGATATTGATGGATATTAATGATCAGTGATTATTAATTCATGTTATTTTTTTGTGGTAGTGTTGCATTTTCCTTCTTTGGTATTTGTTGGACTGGGATTATCTATTGTCTGAGTTTTCATGGGTGTGTTTAGCTTCTTTAGGTTGGATTTTTCCTTCTAGTGCTTTCTATAGGGCTGGATTTATGGATAGATGTTGTTTAAATCTGGTTTTATCATGGAATATTTTGTTTACTCCATCTATGGTGATTGAGAGTTTTACTGAGTGTAATACACATGGAATATATACACATATACACAATGCAATACTACTCAGCAGAGAAAAACAATGACAGCATGAAATTGCAGGCAAATGGATGGAACTAGAAAATACCATCCTGAGTGAGGTAACCCAAACCCAAACATGGTATATACTCACTCATAAGTGGATTCTGGATATAAAGCAAAGAACAATCAGACTGCAACCCACAGAATCAGGGAGGCTATATAGCAGGGGGGATCCTAGGATGACTGTGGCTTATAATAAGTTTTGATTTTACTCAATTACTGGACAAGCCTCATTGAAACATTTCACTATTAGGATAAGAATGTATACTGTATCAAGCAGATAATAGATAAATAAATAAATAAATAAATAAATAAATAAATAAATAAATAAATAAATAAATAAATAATAAAATACATTCTGATGTACCTCCAGCTTGTGAACCTCCTGCCCACATGTGATCAAGCACATTGGTGCAGATGGGTCAAATAAACTTGTTTAGGGGAGTGGAAAAAAAAAGTTAAGGATTAATTACAAGGATTAGATCATACCCTAACAGGACCAGCTTTATTATTTAAGTAAATTCCTAGTTGCTTCTTCTTCCTTTAATTTTGATTCCTCTTAATAATTCTTCACTTGATAATACGTATTTGCAGCTGTTCATACCCTAGTAATGTCAGAGAGATAAGAAATCTGCTTGCTCAGGAAAAAAATCAGTTTGCCATGCCAACAAATGTCCTCATTGATTCAAGTAATGATGTATGTAATATGGTCTATGATCCAGGCACTTGTTCATGTTCTAGGTAATAATACAAACTAAGTTTTTGCCCATATGCAGCAACTAATAGCTGGATAGAGAATCACAGATCAAAACATAAATAAATAATCATTTCAGTAGGAGAAGTGGAACTTAGATGTATAGATGGCAGAATCTAAACAGCTACTTGGTTTTCAAAATTTCCAGAGTTTCTCTTTATTGACGGTAACCACACAGTCTCTGGATGATCATCCAATGGCCCCATTCCATTACTGACCTACCGCAGGAGCTACATTTGAAGAGCAGGAGTCCAAATTCCTCATTGGAAATACCAAGAGTGAAGCCAAGTCACTGGTACTACGGCAGACTTCTGGAAGAAGTTGTTTAGTAGCCATAGCAGTTCAAGCAGTTCAAGCTCTACAAACTCTCAGAGATTGCATGTTGTAATCAACACAGTAAACCAACTAATAAGAACATGTCAGTTCTTCAATTTTGGAAGTAATTTTAACCTTCTCTTTTCACACACACACACACACACACACACACACACACACACACACACACACACATGCACACACACACACGCACATATATATGCATATATATGTTCAGTTCTCAAATACAATGTCCAATATGGAAGCAACTTCATGGAATTTTTAGAGTAACAGAACAAAAGAAGCTATAAGTCAAGGTATTTTAAAAAAATATGTTGGTGGAAACATAAGTGGGCAATTACATCAGGCAGAGGAATCTCATCTGTAGGCCTCAGATGTTGTCTGATACCATTCTTAGCTTTTCACATGGGTAGAGAATAAGGTGATAAGCTATACATTCCAAAGGGTTTTATCAGTTTATCAAAATGTTAAATCTGATACAGAGGGGAATAGATCCTAGGGTAAGCCACATGAAATTGTAACCAGACTACATTCCATCGAAGGTCTTCTCTGTTGATCAGTTTTTCAGAGAGCTTCTTTTAATAATTCCCATACACACTCCTAAGGAGCATTTCATTGAGTAAAAACTGATGTGGCTTTTTACAAATAATTTGATTAATATTTCTTACTTGTTTTTCTATTAGGGACTATGAAGGTGTACTCAGACACAAAGCACAATGACACTGAGGCCACTGAGTTCATTCTTCTGGGACTTAGCATGCGACCAGAACTGCAACCAATTCTCTTCATGGTGTTTCTCATGATTTACCTCATCACACTGACAGGGAACTTTGGCATGATCTTATTAATCAGGTTCACTCCCCAGCTGCAAACCCCCATGTATTTTTTCCTGACCCACTTGGCATGTGTGGACATTTTTTATTCTACCAATGTCTCTCCTTAGATGCTAGTCAACTTTCTATCTGAGAAGAAAACTATTTCTTACATTGGGTGTCTGGCTCAGTGCTTTGTTTTTGTCACGCTGCTCTTAACTGAATATTACATGCTTGGTGCCATGGCCTATGACAGGTACATGGCAATTTGCAAGCCCCTGCATTATAGTACAAAAATGTCCAGGCCAGTTTGTATTTGCCTGGTCACTTTTCCCTACATCTGGGGTTCTATGGTGGGCACAATGCAGGTGATATTGACCTCACGTCTTTCCTTTTGTGGACCCAACACCATCAACCATTTCTACTGTGCTGACCCGCCCCTCTTGATGTTAACATGTTCTGACACTTATATCAAGCAAACCGCCCTGTTTGTGTCAGCTGGGATTAATCTCACAGGTTCCCTTCTCATCATTCTCATCTCCTACATTTTTATCTTCATCACCATCATGAGGATCCGTTCCAGTGAAGGGCAGCGAAAGGCTTTCTCCACATGTGGCTCACACCTGACAGCTGTCACTATGTTCTATGGGTCCCTCTTCTGCATGTATCTGAGACCAGCAAATGAGACGTCTGTTGAGCAAGGCAAAATTGTGGCGGTGTTTTGTATTTTTGTGAGTCCCATGGTGAATCCATTTATTTACAGCCTGAGGAACAAGGATGTGAAACAGGCTCTAAAAAGAGTATTCATAAGAAACCTCTGCAAAGTGGAGAAAAGTTCAGCACCTACAGTTTCCCATTAAAGAAAAATACACCTTCAATTTTAATAGAAGCTGTGAATTTGAGAAGGAGGGGAGGAGAGGAAGAGGTGGAAACTATGTAAATACAACACTCATATATAAAATCTCCCCAATTTTAAATTAAAGATGTTTTAACAATACTCTGATTTGTTTTGATTGAATGTGGTTCTTTGGAATGATAAGAATATGTTTTAGAGTGCATAATTTTGGATTGAGTGAGAATATAATTGACATTATAGATCTGAAAGTTGTTGCAAGAGCTGATTGACAGGAAATACAATCCCAGACATCATTTTTTGTGGTTAAACTATATCCTGAGTTTACTCTTGCTTGATAATTGTCTCTCTACCCGATTCATCAGCATTTAGACTCTTCCTTTCACTTGTAAATCTGTATTGAGTGACTCCATTTTTTTTTTTTTTTGGTTTTTTTGGAGACAGGGTTTCTCTGTGTAGTTTTGCGCCTTTCCTGGGACTCACTTGGTAGCCCAGGCTGGCCTCGAACTCACAGAGATCCGCCTGGCTCTGCCTCCCGAGTGCTGGGATTAAAGGCATGCACCACCACCGCCCGGCTAAGTGACTCCATTTTTGACCCAAGATGAATTACAATATATTATTTGGATTTTAATAACATGATTTCCATTCATGTGGTGACCATACAACAGATTTTAGCATATAAATTCTTTGTAATATTTAGGTAACATTTACTTCACCTTCAAAAGGACCTCTATGTATACATGTTTCTGCTTCTAACCAGTTACTAAACAGAAATTATCTGCAAAAGTAACAGACAATATTAAGTAGTATTCCCTGATGCTGACGAGAGGTATGAGAGCACTTGGATCAAGCATTACTCATAAGTATCAATTGTTAGTTACTTTCTGAAAGATAATTCCCTCCAGAAGAAATCAGCATGGATTTTAAAATTTTCAAAGTATTTGTTTATTTTTATTTTTTGAGATAGCATTACACTTTGACTTTATTTTTTCCTCTATTTTTCCTTTATTTAGAATTTATCTTGAAGGACTCTAGCAGGCCAAGCATGGCAAACATGGCACTAGCAGGTCTTGCCCTCCCTGTTTCCCTCTCCCTCGCTAAACCATTAGAATCCATTCTTGGCGCTAACCACCAAGGTCTGTTCTCTTACTTGGCCACTTTCATATACCTGACTCATTTCTGAGGCTGATCAGCAATATCTAACTATCAAAACATCAAGGCCAAGCAATCAAAAATCCCCATTTGGCTACCTACACAAATTAACATGCCCAGTCAGAATTTACCAAACCATCCTAGCTCATTCTAACACAGATCTCTTCTTTTTGCCCCTTAAAATTACAACTGCTAAGCTATTGGCTGCTGTTCCTGCCCGATTCAGATTCAGTCATCTTTTTTCTTCGACTTGCTTAATAAATAATCTCTTTGTGCAGGAAATTGGTATTTGGGTGTTGTCAGTGCCTAATCCAGGTCTAGAGGGGAACACTCTCCCGTCCTTCATATTTTTTAAACAGTATATTCTGATTATGGTCCACCAGCTCCAAGATCTTCCTGTAGCATCTGAATTCATACCCTTTCTGTATCTCTTTACAAAACAAATAGGCAGCTAAAGACCAATAATAAGATAAAACAAAAACAAACACACCAAAATAAGACAAAACAAACAAGCAGAAAAAAATCAAAGAAAAGGGACAAGAAAGACACATAGACATGTATGTTCATGTACTATTTAATCCATCAATTCTTCTCTTTGTACTATATCCTAAATCAATGGCTCTCATCCTTCCTAATGCTGCAACTCTAATACAGTTCCTCATGCTGTGGTGACCCCAACCATAATATTGTTTTTGTTGGTGCTTCATAACTGTAATTTTGCTGCTGTTATAAAACAATGTAAATATCTGATACGCAGGATATCTGACATGTGACCCCAAAAGGGTCTCAATGCACAGGCTGAGAATCACTGTTCTAAATAGAAAGTCAAAGTTGTGTGAAGAAACATCATTGTAATTACAGTTGAAAGATTTTCTTTTCAGGAAAGCAACTTATTTTCTCTGCCTAAAAATTCAAATATTAAGAATAAAAATAATTATATTTTACTATTTCATTTTTATGATTAAAATGAATAATGTGAAAAGCAGCAGCTATATTGTTAAATGTCACAAATATTTTCATGCTTAATGATTCATGTTTTATCATATTTTAAAAGAACTGCTGAAATGCCATTCACCTAACACTCACACTATGTAATGAAACAAACAATTCAATTATAATCGTAAATAAAAATATATATAAAGACTAAAATTATGTCAACCACTTGTACTAAGAAAGGTAACATGTCTGAAAGAAAGTTGCATTTCTCTAAGACAAAATTTAAAAAATGAATGTCCAATATGAAATAGGCAGCCCTGAGAATGTATACTTATAGGTAATTATACAGATTTAGTAGGTTGTATTTACATATGTAGGAATGTGTATGTGTGTGTAACAATAAGAAAAAAAAGGACATGAATCTGAAAAAGATCAAGGAGTGAGTTCATGGGAGGATTTGTAAAGAGAAATGGGAAGGGGGAAATTTTGAAACTATATTAAAATATCAATAAAAAACCAAAAAATATTTTAAAATAACTATGGAATTATTTAGATAATTCAATGTGTATTTTGCAATTATTAAAAATATATACATCAAAAAGGATTATAATCTGGACATCAAATCATTTTTATGGCTGTAAATGGAAGCAACACTGGAAAGATTGGTGAAAATATCACAGAATAAATAACTTGCCATAAAAATGAAGTAGGACAAGGGATCACATTACAAAATGAGTCTTTGCCATTGCATTACACTTCTAAACACCTGTCCTCCATTGCTGTCACCACAGATCACATTTTTAAATCCCACTGTGTCATAATACTACTGATAAATCACATGCCTCTTAAATATAATTATTATATATTAATGACCCAAGTCATCTCTCTTTTCTTAGAGTATTGCTTCTAAAAGAGAAATCTGACAGAACTTTAGACTTATTCAGTGAACCAAGACTCCAAAATGGTCAAGCTTTACAAAAACTACAGATGATTTATTTTCTGCAAAAATCTGCTCTACATTTTTCAGCAAAGATTCCTATAAATTTCTGTGTTGACATTTGATGAAAACATTAAAGAATCAAATATTTAAGGGAATTTAAGGAAAGTTAACTATATATGTTTCACTATACAACAATCTAGCTGTCCAATAATGAATGAGTTAAGATGAATGGAGAATATAGCTCTTTACCTCACCATTTCTGCTATAAAGTCTGTCGCTAAAAGATTTTTGTCCTACACTTTATCTAGGAAATCAGATTTCATTGACTCTGGCCCTTCTGTATTTATATACTTGTCCCATAATAATAACCAAAGATAAGGAGGCCATAATTTGAGAGGGAGTCAAGGGCATGGCATGGAAGAGGTTGGAGGGAGGAAAGAAAGGAGGGGAAGGATGTAATTATATTTTCACTAAAATTAGAAGTTATCACAAACAAGATTTCACTAGCTTTAAATCTCAAGAACAGTAAGATTACATTCACTCCTACAGACATGTTTCCACCAATAGGTGGAAAAAAGTACATAGAAGTAAATAAATACACCCTATTGTTCCAAATTACCAAATTCTAAATGCAAGTGATTGTACTGAAAATTATGCAGAATGTACAGCTGGATGAGTCTTATTAATACTCTTATCAATATATAAATAGATGTCATTCAAGAGAATATTTCCAAACTTGGAGAAGATTCCTAGTCCTACTTAATTGGTGGGATGATTTTTTTTTGAATGCTATGTTTTGAGAAAACTAACAGAAATTTTGGGATGATGATCTAGATCTCTAATGTTTACAAAAATGTCCAATTAATTAATGACATCAGACCAAGTTCTTTACCCTAGACATTGCATCAGAAATGATCTAATGACTCAAACAAATATTTTTGGCATATGTTTTTAACCACATTATTCAAAGAAGATGGACTGTAAAGGTTAAAAGGGTCATAGATTTGTGATCGTATACATGTATATGGAAGCAAGACTTTGTATGGAATCATTGAACACAAAATGAAGCCTATTTGTAGTTTTTCTGCTAAAGAGGGTATTTCACAATGTCCATATCATAGATTTTACCAAATGTTTTCCCCAAAGATATTAATTTCAAGAATAAATTAGGAAAATTAACAAATGGGAGACAGGTTGAAAATAGTCACAATGCAGAGGCAAATGGGTTGCTTAAAATGACTTAGTTTAAATAGACACAGAGTAAGTTCAACTAAACACGTGCACAAATTGACATTTATTGAAAGAGCTTTCCTTTAATCACCTGTTTCATGGCACTGATGACATCTTTGTTCCTTAGGCTATAGATCAAGGGGTTCAACATTGGGCTCAAAAAAGTGTAAAAAACAGCAATTACTTTGGACTCCTCTACAGACTTCTCTGATGGAGGTCTTAAGTACATGCAGAAAAGGGTTCCATAAAATATGGTGACAGTTGTCATGTGGGAACCACATGTAGAGAAAGCTTTCTGCCTTCCTTCAGCAGAACGGATTCTCAAGATAGCTGCAAAAATGTAAAGGTAAGACAGAAGAATGATAGTGAGAGAACTTGAGAGAGTAAAGCCAGCTACCACAAACATGGCCATCTTTTTGACATGAGTGTCAGAGCAAGCCAGCATGATGAGAGGAGGGTCTGCACAGTAGAAGTGGTTGATTTCATGGGAGCCACAGAAAGACAAGTGGAAAGTGAGCAGAGTCTGAGAGAGCCCATTCAGGAAGCCAAAAACATAAGGGAATGTGACTAGAGAGACACAGACATTCTTGGACATCCTGGTACTGTAATGCAGAGGACTGCAAATGGCCACATAGCGGTCCAGCGCCATTGAAGCAAGGATATAAAATTCAGTAATCACCAGAGCAATGAAGAGGAGACACTGGGTGAAGCATCCAGCATAGGAGATTGTCTTCTGGTCGGAGATGAAACCATGCAGCATGTTTGGAGTAACATTGGAAGAATAGCAAATGTCTACAAAGGAGAGGTGCCCAAGGAAGAAGTACATGGGCGTTTGCAGGTGGGAATTGGTCCTGATCAGCATAATCATGCACAGATTTCCTGCCAGTGTGATGACAAAGATGAGCAGAAACACCACAAAGAGGATCCTCCCCAACACTGGGCTGTCTGTGAGTCCCACAAGAATGAAATCCATCCCTGCAGTATGGTTTAGGGAGGTCATTTTCTTACACCTTGCAAGTTGAAAGTGACAATAAATGTGAGCAGTGCCTTCTCCTCTGTACTGCCCATCAGTTCCACTCATTTCTTCATGTCCTTCTTTTCATCTGTGGAACAGTTACTCTTCTCAGTATATACCCCATCTTTGCTATGCTATTTTTTCACCCTGCATGTTTATGTTATATCTCCCTTTCCTTCTCTCTGTATCTATTTCTCTATCTCTCTGCCTGTTTCTGTCTGTCTCTCTCTGCCTCTCTCTTTGTCTCTCTCTGTCTCTGTCTCTCTGTCACACACACACACACACATACATACATGCTTACATGAGTTTTGACTCATTTCTTCCAAACTTCTTTCCTTTACATATATGTATCAACTTGTCTTTTTGCATACATCTGTGTTTTGAAAGTTCCTACTTTTATTATATGTTCCAAACTTTCTGAAAAAAATTATAAAATAAGCCCAAAAGGTCGAAGTAAGAAATGCAGCTAGCTAGTTACTTCTATCATGCAAGTTGACCAAGTAATGTATGTTGGGCTTCCCACTTTTCTCAGCAGTGATATTATCTCATTTCAGATACAAGATTAAAAATGAATACTAATTGCTGCTTTTTGCTTACAACCCATAGATGTCTCACCTAACTTTAGTTATGTAGAGAGAACTTAATATATAGAATTTGTCTTTTAATATGTAACAAAGATTCAGAATCCAAATTAGTCTTTCGATTGACAGTTCACACACTTATTCATGTGCACAAACAAGTGGCATTTTTATTCTGTTCCATTGTAGAAGCTTACAGCAGTTAACAAACTCTTCCCATTCCTACAGTGCACATTACACTGTAACTATCAATCATAGCAAAGCTATGCAAATGAAATGAGTCACTTTCTGATGTTAGAAAGTCTCTTCCTATAAAGGTAGCCTTTAAGCAGTCGATAAAAAAAATGCAACTATCTTAGAACAAGTGCAGAGTTTTTGGTTTTTATTTTTATGTTAATAAATCATTCATGAAAATAATTTATGAAACCACAGGTATTTGAACAATGGCCTCTCTGTTATTGTGTATGAGGGACTGAATATATAAGATCACAAAGCTTCGTCTTGAGGCATTGCACACTCAGACAACTGTGTTTGTTCTCCAACTGTATATCTGAAGAACATGTATATGATCTGGATTCTCCAGTGACACAGAAATATCAAAATATGAATAGAATGGTCAACAGCACTTCTTAAAATAAATATGTTTTCTAAAGTGATAACACACAAACATTCAAGATACATCTTTACTTACCAAATGCAGAAAATAACTATCTGTGGATATGTATGTACCATATATTATAGAAACAAGGTAGAGGGATTTATAGTATATTGATTCAAAATAGTCCCATCGGTTTCAAAAATAATTCCAAAGATCCAATTAATATATTCTTTGATTCTCAGGGGCAGAACATTAATTTGATGGTTTGAGGAGCTGATTTTCCTTTGAGACTAAATCTCAACTGGATTTCTGGGTACACAGATTGCCATAGTGTGTATAAAATCTCAGCATGGATAGAAAAGTATACTGGCATCTTTATTAGCCTTTTGGCTAAGATCAAGTAGAGAATTCCTTCTTATGAGTTTAATTCCTGTTACATCATTAATATGAAAATATATTAAATGGACTTTTGGAATTATGGTATGAAAAAGGACATTACACATCCTGCCCACATGTCAACTTAATATTGCATCACTACCTGAAATAATTCACACAAAGGCCTAAAAATAAATAAATTGTGTGCCAGAAATTTCAATTTGTAGGCAATAACATGAGAATTTTATTTTATTGCTTGCTTTTACCAAGTACACTAAGTACACAACTGTTTCTTCTTATGAACACAGACTGAGGTCATGGGGAAGAAGTTCTGCTGTATGAGGGGTGTGAAAAAAATAGTTGACAAGAGATTTGAGCAAATCCAATAAACTGGTGTGAAAGAAGCCAGGTGGTGGTGGTGTATGCCTCTAACCCCAGCACTCAGGCAGGCAGATTTCTGTGAGTTCAAGGCCAGCCTGAGCTATAGATTCAGTTCCAGGACAGGCTCCAAAGCTACACAGAGAAACCCTGTCTTGAAAAACCAAAAACATTGGTGTGAAAGAACTGATAAAGTCTGGGGTATTATATAGAGCAGGGCTTCAGGATTTAGACTGAGATTAATGTGACCTGTGCAGTTATGTTTTCAAGACACTAAGAAGCACAGACAAGTCTGAAAAGCACGATCATTTACAAATGGAATGACCTAAAACTGGTTATTGGAAAGGACATTTAATAATAGATTCAAAAGGAATTGAATACTGTTTGGCAAGGCATTAATTAGTGAGTGAAGAAGGAGGCAAATGTTTTCTTTGGCACATGTCTTTCAATGTGCAGGTAAGTCCAAGTCAAACTACTTAAATGTGTCAAAATAAAGTGTGATGATTATAAGAGAGGCATCCTCAATATTCAAAGACATCCAAATAATTCTATGACAAATCAGTATTCTTTTCTACATTTTTAAGTCAAAATTTATTTTTTTCATTGTAAAACTGGAGAATTCAGCACCTGCCAGGTGAATCTTTTCTAGCCTTAGTATGAAAAATGTTCTCTACTTCCATTATAATATGAAGCAAAATTAGTATAAAAGAGCATAATATAGTTCTAGATTCCAGCACCCTACTGGGGGTGGGGAGATGAGAGCCTAATCTTCCTAAAGAAATATCTTCCAAGTTCTATGTGAAATCTCAAACGATGAGAACTTTGACTTGTATCAAACTTCCAGCCTGGTGCTGTCTCCACTCTGCTGTCTCCTTTTCCTCTCAGGAATGTCTTACCTGCCTACTTAACTAATGGCTACTTAGCTACCGTTGTGGTGTGAATGTAATTGACACACATAAGCTCACAGGGAGTGACACTAAAAGGTGTGGCCTTGTTGGAGGAAGTGTGTCATTGTGCTGGTGGGCTTTGAGGTCTTCTTTGCTCAAGCTTACCTCAATGTGACACTCTGAGCACTTCCTGTTGTCTAAGGGTCAAGATATAGGACTCTCACCTCCTTTTCCAGCACCATGTCTGCCTGCACATTTCCATGTCCCACCATGATAATGGACTAAACCTCTGAAACTGTAAGCCACCCCAATTAAATGTTTTTCCTTTATAAGAATTGCTGTGGTCACAGTGTCTCTTCACGGCAATAGAAAGCCTAACTTTCTGCCTTATTTACTAAAATGGGGACCTATTGAAGAAGAAATCCAATGTTAACCTCAAACACACACACACACACACACACACACACACACACACACACACACACACACACACACGACACACTCATACACACAGTTGCATAAATTAAACACATTAGCAATAAACTCTGAGTTTCTAGTAATGCATCAGTGTCACATTAAGTAAAGAAATAAAAGCTTAGGATGTAAACTAATTACATGGGAAATCCAAAGCAAGTAAGGTAGATTGTTAATGTCATTCTATTAAAGACAGGTTAAAGAAACAAGCTGAGTACACAGTAAGGTAACAATCTCAAGTCTTAAGTTTATTTCAACAAAACTAATTGCTTTTTATTAATTTTTAATAAAATATAAAGTAACAGATTTTATTTTGAAATTTAACCAAGAGTGAGCTCAGATTTGAATTCATGACTCCACGTTTCCTGTGTCTTCCATTCTGTCTGTTCTATGAATCTGAATCTGTTCCTGCCTGAATGCTGACTCCTGTATCTGTCCGTGTGTATGTGTGTTTCTTTGTGTCTGTTTTTAAAAGGGCTTCACTCTGTTTTTATTGAACAGCACAGAAGCATCACATGGGGAAAGAATGGTATCCTTTACAGAATTTTTAAACAGAATTTTACAAGGGATTAAGTCACTGGCTTCAACTGATCCCCACTGACTCAGACAACAAACAGCACTAGAAAAAATAAATCATTGTTTATCAACCTATATCCATAAATGTCGATTTCAAACTTTATGGTAGATTTTAGAAGATTGCTTTCAAACTCTGTATTTGATGCTTTCAGCACATGATACACATGCACTGGTATTGGTCAAGGGCACAGAAGTATACACAGTTTAAGATTACAGCTATGCATTAGCTTAGGTTATAAAACTTAATTACTTGCCTTGAATTTCCCATGGAATTAAATTTTATTTTAAAATTATTTTTCATATTACACACCAGCCACAGTTTTTCCCACCCCTCCTCCTGCTCCCCTTCCACCCCCACCCCCATTCAACACCCTTTAATATTGTGCAGCTATTGCCATAATCTAATTTTAGGTTACTTAAAAAAAACTTTTTTATTGATTCTTTGTGGACTTTACATCATGCGTCTTGATTCCATTCATCTCTCATCCCTTCTATAGCCACACTCTTGCACCTCCCCCCACAAAATGAAATAAAATAAAATTTAAATGAAAAAAATCCTATTGTGGATGCTGTAAGGTGGCCCAGTGAGTCACACAGTATATACCCTTTAGTTCATACATCTTTACTTACAAATGTTCATTGCAATGAGTCTATGGTCTGGTTTGAGACCTTTGGCTTCTGTTACCCTATTGTTCCTGGACCCTCACTGGGACTCCTGTTGGATATCCTGTTGTTGCCCTGTGTCATGGAGATCTTGCAGCTTTGGATCTGCAGGACTGGCCCCTTCACCTGCTTCCAGTGTGCTTCACTTTCATTGATGGAGTGGATGTTGGGGTGGGCCAATTCATAGCTCTGGAGGATAGCTCGGTTGGTAAACCCATCAGCTCTCCCTCATCCTCACCACCAGGGTGAGCTCTCCAGCACTGACCTGACTAGTTTACCCAATGCAGCTGGCAGCAAGGGGTAGGGACAGTTCTGCTCTCACATCCTTGGGACTGACTCACCTGCATCCACACAACCAGGGCCAGCTCTACTGCATTGCCCAGGCAAGGTGCAAGGCCCACTCTCCTGAGTACTGCAGATGGTGATGGGCAGGGCTAGCTCTCCCACTCTCATGCCCCCAACTCCAGCTACCACAAGTGGTGAGGGGGGAGGGGAAGGGCATCTTTCCCTCACCCAGGCCACCACATGGCAGATGGGGGCAGGGTCACCTCTCCCATTTGCAGTGCCAGCTCACCAGCACCCTCACCAACAGAGTCAGCTCTACTGTCCTTCCCAGGCAAGAGGCAGGGCCAGATCTCTGGAGTGCTGTAGCATTAAGGAGCAAGATCAGCTCTCCTGCTCTCATGACCTCAGGGTCAGCTCTCCCTCCTGTCAAAGGCAGCAAGAGGTGGGGAGAGCATCTCTTTCTTACCACCACATGGAAGATGACAGGTGGGGACAGCTCTTCCATGTTCATCCTCTTGGGACCTTCTCACCCATGTTCCTGTTAGCGGGGGTTAGTTCTACTGTGCTACCCAGGAGAGGGACAGGGACTGCTCTCTTGAGTGCTACAGCCAGTAAGCAGTGGGCTCAATTCTGTGTTGCCCTTTCCTCATCACGGTGAGGTGACAAGAGCCAGGGACATCAACATAGACTATGACCGGGGCAGGGCCATGGGCCCAGACATGGCCCTTTGCAGCAGCCCAGGTCCATACATTACCATGGTCTCAGATAGCAAGCATTTTACCCGCCTCAGTTCACTCCTCATCCCCTTCCTCTCTTCAGATCTGTCTCTCTCCATAGGACATGAACCATTCTGTCTCTCTCTCCCCCATACTCAACCATATACTTGTTCACCATAATGGCACCCGACCACTTGGCCGCTCAAGGTGTCTGTGGATTCTTCTTCCCACCCATGGCAAGGGGTCTCAGGTGGGCGTGTGGGTCTCCTTCATCTGCCAGGCCCTAATCCACTTTCCTTTAGCATAAAAGTCATTTATAGCATTTTTACTCCAACAGTATTATTAGCTATATAATTTTGTGTATTAATCACCAGTATCACCTTATAAATTAATAAAAATATGTATTTGCTATTTTATATTTAGTTAGGCCATAACAATTACAGATTGTATAAAACTATTTAATATTAGCTTTGTAAAAGTTTATATAATAAAATTGAATATTGATATAATATATTGATATAATATATTTTAGTATAACATACCACTAGTATATAGACAGTATTTCATCCATCTTTAGGAAAGCCTTTGTATATAAAAGTAAACTATTCTACCAAATTACTGCTTTGAGATAGAAAGTGAACACTCCATGCCTCTGTACCTTCTTCAGTACTCAGAACCTTCTATTTACTTTGTAGGTGGACATAGTATGTATCAAACCATAATAATCAAGAGCTTTAAAATCATTCAAAATAGAGCCAGTGAGATGATTGAAGGCGATAATATGTTTTCTGAGATCAGTCATTGGGACTCCAAGAATGGAAAGAATCAACTCCTGACCTCTGCCTACCAGCTTTGGGACATATATGTTTCTCTACTCTCAACACAAGTGCAAAATGAACCAAAGATAATATTTTTAAAAATATACAAAATATTTAATTCAGAAATTCTGAATGTATCCTAGATGGAAAAAGAACATTCAAACAAAAGATAGACCATATAAATATGTTCCATGGATGCTGTAGTAAATGGTTTGCAGGAGGATGAAAGAAAATATGTCATTTAGTGAAAACTACAATTTAGTCTTGTTTTGATTCCTTCTATGTTTCAATAGTTTTGCATTTGTTATTCCAAATTTGATGTGTATTTTTTTAACAAAGACAAAATGACAATTACTAAGTATAAAACAATGAATTATTTA